CACACAGAGCAGCAGCACCGCCTGCTGCTGCAGCAGCAACTGCAGCAGCTGCTGCTGCTACAGACATGCATGGACGGGCAGCGTCATGCACCACTACATACACATTGCTTGGCTGCTGCTGCTGCTGCTGCTGCTGCTGCTGCTCTGGTTGTTGCTGCTGCTGGTTCTGCTGCTGCTGCTGCTGCTGCTGCTGCGTGAGAGCATGCAGGAAGTAAAGCGCTCGCTGTCTGCGGGCTTCCGGCGTGTTGGCGCTACCACCGAGCTGCTGCTGCTGCTGCTGCTGCTGCTGCTGCTGCTGCTGCTGCTGCTGCGGCTCCTGCTGCTGCTGCTCCCCTTGCTGCTGCTGCTGCTGCTGCTGCTGCTGCTGCTGCTGCTGTATAAGATGCATGCACAAGGCTTCTAGGCCGAGCCACACCGACTCAAAGCGCTCACCTCCTGGCTCTGCGAATATGAATTCACATACTTGCTGCTGCTGCTGCTGCTGCTGTTGCTGCTGCTGCTGCTGCTGCTGTTGCTGCTGCTGCTGCTGCTGCTGCTGAAATCTCTTAAATAGAGGGTAGAATCTGTGTCTGTATTTGGGGGGTACCAGCAGAACCATGACGTGGGGGCCCCCTGGGGCCCCCATGTTGTTGCTGCATCCTGCGTTGCTGCTGCTGCTGCTGCTGCTGCTGCTGCTGCTGCTGCTGCTGCTGCTGCTGCTGCTGATGAAAGACAAGAGCTTTGCTGCTGAGATAGAAGCAGCATCCGCCCCCTGCAGCAGCAAACGAAACTGCTTCGGTTGGGGGCCCCCACAGCGGCGCCCGAGGCCCCCTGCTAGCAGCAACACACCCAGGCGGATGCCACCTGCTGCTGCTGCTGCTGCTGCTGCTGCTGGCGCTGCTGCTGGTTCTGCTGCTGCTGGAGTTGCTGCTGCGGGTTGTTGTCGTGCTGCTGCTGCTGCAACTGATGATGGTGATGCACAGGTAGGGGATGCTGCTGCTGCTGCTGCTGTTGTTGTTGCTGCTGTTGCTGTTGTTGCTGCTGCTGCTGCATCTGTTGGTGTAGCCAGGATCGTTCGTGCTGCTGCTGTTGCTGCTGCCCCCGAAGTTGCTGCAGCTGCTGCTGATGGTGGCGGCAATGCTGCTGCTGCTGCTGCTGCTGACCGATCGCTGCTGCTGCCGCTGCTGCTGCTGCTGCTGCTGCTGCTGCTAAGAAGCGATGAGGTGAGGGAGAGGCCCCTGCGCTCCCCCCTGGCGGCGACAGCAGAAGCAAACGGCAGCAGCAGCAGCTGCAGCAGCAACAGCAGCAGCAGCAGCAGCAGCAGCAGCGGTGCTGCAGCGGACCTTGATGCTGTAGACATATCT